AGTATTTGTTTGGTTGTTGTAATAGCAATTTTTTAAAAAATTATACAATGCTCGAAACTTTGTTTGTATGTATTTTATTTTTGTATTAATGTTTCAGATCCTTTGAGAACAAAATACTGTTTTAAAAGATATTTGGGGAAAAAAAAAAAAAAGGATATTTGGTAGCGTAGTGGTTACGAATCGGGCTGCGAACCTTAAGGTCAGCGGTTCGAAACTACCAGCCGCTCCGCGGGAGAAAGATGAGGCTTTCTACTCCCGTAAAGATTTACACCCTCGGAAACCCTGTACAGGGTCGCTATGGGTCGGAACTGACTCGACAGCACTTAACAACAACAACAATACTCTAATTTGAAAACACTTTTTTTTTGTTGTTGTTAAAATGTGGGCCACCCTGTATGTATGTATTTCTTCTTTTTAAGAGGAGGAAAACTATATTATGCTGTAGATGTTAAAATAACTCTTGGTCCAAACCTATCCTTTCAAATTCACTGGTCATCATTTCTGACCAAGAGACTTGATGCTGATTAAGACCTAGAAAGAGAATAGACTCCAGCCGAACTGTGAGGGTCCTTCCCAGGTACAGCTGACCATTGAGACAGTCAACCACGGAGGAGTGGACTAACTACTCAAATAAAGGAACCCGTAAAAAGGGACTCTCCCCAAGGGAAATGTAGTTACCAGTGGGAAACACATTCCTCACCTAGGAAACCTCTCAAAGTGACCCTGGGAAGAATCTGAGAGGCTGCCTTGCCACACCTCTGCCAGATTGTCATGTTTTTCCTTGGTTCCTCTGGCTCTCAGGGGGGTCTAAAGAACTAGTCCCACTGAGTCGCCGCTTCTCAGACCTGGTAAAATGTAGACTGGAACTTATAAAAGTATGGGTTCTCTTCCTCTAAGAATGGACTAAAACATTGATTAAGAGGAATGATATGTTGAATATTCATCAAGGAATGCAGACTTATTGAAAATGGAGTTCCTTCTGCAGTTGTCAGCTCTAGGCATTATCTTCACGGTTCTGCCTGTGGCCAGCTGCTTCAATTAGGGTTTCAGGTCTTGATATCCTTATCTTTGTCTCGAGGCTAGTCTTCTCAATATTACCATTCTTGTTGGATTAGAAATGTCTTACCCACTTCCTTGATCCCTGTTTATAGTAGGAGAAAACTCAGAGTACAGAGGTAAATATGAAGCCAGAATAAGAGGGGTCTAGGGCTCAAGAGTTCTAATGTGTCCCTGACAACATGATTTGGGTTTAGATGCTAATATAGGTAAAATGTACCTGTGCCATGAGAGAGATGCAAAGAGATTTTGCCTATGACCAGCCAATCAAATTAATAGTAGATACAACTATGGCATCTCTCTCTGTTCTGTTATCCTGTGCAGACAAGAGAAGTCTAAGAGACAATTGTCCAATGGTTGATCAATGTCTTTCCCCTTTAGAACAGTGAGAAACAAACATAAGTATAGTGCCTTAAGGTGGTCCCTGTAATAACTGGAATGATGTTCGGTGGACCAATCAATATCGGTAATAGACTTCTAGCTTGTATAAAGGTCTACCCCAGCCCCCCATTGCAAATCCTAACAATGCAATCAAGCCATTACTCTTAATTATAGATAATCCCAAAACCATGACTACAGAAGCTTCAATAGTAGGAAACTATAGATTAGGAGCTGATGTTACAGGGAAAAAAATCCTATAGATGTCTCCTCTCTAAAACAAATTAGACAAAATTCAAAGCCTACCTTTACCAAAGATAGAACTCAAACACAGAATTCTAAAATGATTCAGATCTAGTACCCCACCTTAAATTCATGAAATGACCCTTCCAAAGTGACAATTATGTAAGTTAAAGACCTAAAACAAACTATAGCTATAGAAACAGGATATGGGGATGTGAATGCTTGGTTGGAATGGATTAAATATTCTGTTCACTCTCTAAATAAGAGCATTAAGCCTGTGCAACAGGAAGACCGGAAGCCCAAGTGGTCCCCTTTCCACTCAGATGGTTCTCAGACCCTCAGAGCATGCACTATATGGTTGCTCTCTTCCAGGACCCCATAGCCTGGGGCAACGAATCCTGTAACTCATTGTCACTGTCAAGACTGTTCCCTAATGTCAGGGGTCTTACGGGTCAGCCCCCCTCACCCCCTCCTGAGGACCATTAGGCCTCCGGCCTCGAATGTCAATTTCACTTCGTGTCTCTCCAGACAGGGGAGGAATTTGATGTTCATCGGAAACCTGACGGGATGCAGCGAGCAAAAAGTCTTCAAAGAGCTCCCAAATCAGTCAGCCCTAGCTATTCCACGAGCAGATGTCTGGTGGTACTGTGGAAAACAACTGTTTGGGGCTCTACCAGCAAATTGGAGTGGCACCTATTCTCTAGTGCAATTGGCCATCCCTTTCACCCTAGCATTCCATCAGCCAACAACTACAAGA